TCTTCCGGGTAGGATTAGCGCTGGGATTTGTAGGCTGAGTGGAGTGGTTTTCTCTCCCCACTGCAGTTGGGCATTGAGGACGTGGACAGAAGAATCTCTTGCCCCTCCTCTTCCTCTCCCCTCTCCGCCTCACTCTCGCTCTTGCTCTCCCTGCCTGAGTTCGTGAGCTGGGACATCAGCCTCCTCTTCTCCTCAAACTAGGATTCACCTTGCCAGCTCTCCTGACTCAGACATTCAGGCTTGTTGGGAGCTCGACCATGTGCCCTCCTGAGCCTCCTGCTTGCTGACTGCAGGCCGTGGGACTTCTTAGCCTCCAGGGTCACACGAGCAGTTCCAGTTGACCGTCAGCTTCCCACTGCCTATGTCCGTCTGGAGATGACTCCCACAAGGTGAGACAGGGGAGTTAAACTTGGAACAGGAACAGGCCTGAAGGCTGGAGGACAGGTGGTGTTTTCTCACAGTCCTCTGAGAGTGGCATCTTGGTGGCAAGTGTATCTCCAAGGAGAAGGTCACTGATGAACTAAAGGAGTGGCCACATTTTAGCTGTCACCCCTCGGGGACCAAAACATTGCTCTGAGATCCTCCCACCATCTCACCTCACTGACACTACAAGGCATGGTCTTGGTATAAGAACCACACAGGGAGCAACCAGCACACAGAGCGCTGAGCACTGAGAGCAGACGTCCAGCTGGAAGCTGCCATGCTACAAACCACCATGCGCGTGGATGTGATGCCCCTGTGCATGTGACAGCCCCTCAGTGTTCCTTGGAAATTCCTAGGAAGACTTGAGGGCAAAGGGGCTTTCCAAAGGGGGAGCTTTCAGGCAGGGAGGACGGCGCACAGGAATGCAAGCTGAGGAAACCCTTCTGGGGTGAGAAGTGGGTAAGTCTACACATGTGTGTGCACGAAGCTGCTGATGGAAGACTTCACCGTCACTTTCCTACATACCTGCAAAAGTTCCCCCAAATAATCAGAAGGCAGAATAGCTGAGATGCTTGAGGAAGAAATAAGGAGACAGAAATATTAGGAATCTCCCGCTGAGCATCCCAATAGAAATACACATCTTGACTTTCGGGTGGTGATACATATCTGACACCAGACCGCCTTGTGGCTGGCACCATGCCACGGCGCTTAAGGTAATTGAGACACGCATTAGTTAAAACAGGTACCTCTGCAGTCAAAGTATTTTTCAATGTTCTAAATTTTGTGCATCTTAAAATCATAAACAGCATTGGATCTTCTGAGCACTTCCTCACACCAAACCTGTTTGGCTCATTGGTTCCAGTTTACAGCCAAAGCAACAGAGGCTCAGGAAAATGCACGTTGACTCAAAGCCACAGCTACCTGGGACACAATGAAGACCAAGCCAAGGACCGTCTGACCACAGTGGCCTCTCCACTCCCCCATGCCACTGCCCAGGGACCAGATAGCACCCCTTTCCCATTCGACTGATGAAAACACTGATTCCCAAGGCTCAGAGGAGGTGTCGTAGTTGATTCTCTCTTAATGTGTCCACAACCTGGGGCTGCCATCCTCCTGTGAGGTTGAGGCCCCTTCCAAGCACACCAGCTGCTGGCAAAACTCATTTCCTTGCAGCTGGCGCCACTGTCCGCTCCAAGAGGCTCCCTGCAGTGGTGGCCACACAGTCCCCAGAGCCAGCTCCCACTATGAAATGTGCTTTCTTCCAGGACAGCTGGAATGTGTCCCTGTGACTTCCTCTTCTGTGACCAGCCAGAGGAAACTGCTTTGAAAGGGTTCATGACATTAGGTCAAGCCCACCCGGATAATCTCCCTGCCTCGAGGTAAATGAATGGGACCTCGACAACATCTATAAGATCCCTTCCCATGGTACCGGAAATAGTGTTTGCAGTAAACTGGGGTGAGTTTAAAACTTGTTAAACCGCAGTAAAACAAAGGGAAATAGTCATGGGCACTTGCACCCATTCAACTGGCAAAACATGCAAAGGTTGGCGAGGGAGAGAAACAGGAACATCCCAGTGCAAAGAGATACAGGCTGCTGTGACTCAGGAGAGTGCTGTGGCAACACCCAACACATCTGGCGGTGTGCATCCTCTGCTCTGCCAGTTTAGAATCTACAAACATCCTAGAGAAATTCTCCCACGTGTGCACGAAAAGACGTACAAGGGTGATGACTGCACGGAACAGAAGCAAAACCAAGGCAGCGCCCTCCAGCAGAAATAAACTAATGCCCATCCTCGGGACTACAGGTGAGTAAACTGCGTCACAGACATTGGGATACCATACGGCATTTAAAAATGAAAGTGCTAGAGCCAGATACAGTGATGCACCCCTGTGATCCCAGCACTCAGGAGGCTGAGGCAGGAGAGTCGTGAGTTCAAGGCCAGCCTAGGCTACACAGTGAGCTCCAGGCCAGCCTGAGCTACACAGAAAGATTCCATCCCCCCAGAAAAGCACTAGTGCTATATCTATGGACTTTGAATAAATCCCAAAAATGAAGTTAAGGAAAGAAGGAAGATGCAATGAGACATTTACAACAAAATGCCATTTATATAAACTTTTAAGATGGGCAAAGCAATGCTTTGTAATTTTTATGGCTACATAGCATATGTGGCAAAAAATATAAAAATGCGGATGGAAATGATAAAAGCTGGATTCACGAGCAGGATGCCCTCTGGGGAGAGGAGGAGGGAGAGGAAAGATATGAGAGGGTGTATAGGAGGCCTCAATTGTGTCTGTAATGTGTAATTTCTTCCAAAGAACGTTAAGGCAAAATGGTTTAGTACCGAGATCCGATCAAGCTGGGTAGGGACCATGTGGGTTTCTCTTACACTGTTCTTTCTCACATCTTCATGCTTTGAAGCAACAAAGTTGCTCTTTGATTTGAGTAGGGAGAGGCAAGCTCATTTTTCTAAGAGGTACAGCAGAAATAGCTAAGAAAACCAGGTTGGAAGCTTCAGTTCCAGGATGGCTGGGAGGGGGTGGTGAGAGGATCTAGAATATTCCCTGGGCCCCTCCACCGAAGCCTTCCCGGACCCCACCCTCAGCACAGTCCTGCACTCTGGAGATACCCTGTTTACCCACCCTATCATTACTCTACTCACCTCCGGTAGGAATTTTGTTTTCCCTTCACATGACATCACCCCGTCATTTAAAATGTATAATATGTAATTTTTCTTACAATACTTGATGCATAAAAGTGGTTTTCTCAGAGTGGGCAGGATTTCAGGTGATTTCTACTTACTGTGTTATGTAGTTGCACTTGTAAAATTGTTTAAATGCTTACAAGTTGGGGAAGAAATAAAATATCTCAACAAACTTTTGTTTGTTTGTTTGTTTTGGCAGTACTGGGAACTGAACTCGGGGCCTTCACACTGAGATACATCCTCAGCCCAATTTTATTTGGCAACTGGGTGGGTCTTGCTTAAATTGCTAAATGCCCACACTGGGCTCACACTTGTGATCTTCCTGCTTCAGCTGCCCAGAGTGCTGGGATCAAAGGTGTGCACAACCACGTCTTGCTAAAGGTGAATTCTTTTATAAAAGAAATTCTTTAGGCTGTCTTCATGCATCTGTCTACGGGTCCCAGAAGGAACCTTCCTCATACCACCCTGTCCTACTGCTTACCTGCTCCAGGAGTCTGTCCCACGACAGGCCCAACAAACCTCATCCATCGACTACATCAGCCTCCCCCTGCTCTTCGCAGTCTCCCTCTAGGCGACTGCATCGGAAAGCTTTTTTGACGAGATGACATCGGACTCCCCCCACCATCCCGGCTCCTACTTTGGGGGCCACTAAATCAAAGAGGAATTGTAGAGCATTTTGATCCGGGGTGGAACTCAGTCACTGTGGAGCATCAGCACTGGAAACCTGCAGAGCTTAGAACGAACTGAGCGAGGGGACGACCTGAAGAAAGGGGGTGGCCTCCCCCAGGGAGAGCTGAGGCTGCGGGACCCACGCTCACCCCTGCAGGGCTCCAGGCTGGTTCCTGAGAACAGTCTGGTGGAGCGAAACCGTCTCTCTGAATGTTATAATTCTTTGCATTTCTGGTCCTCCTCAGAGCCCTTTTTCATCTTGGCTGCACCCCCCCCACCCGGTGGGCGCTATGATCCCTCTGAAGTAGGCGAGGCAGACGCAGAGAGGTGACAGAGTTTGCACAAGGGCTTGAGAGCCATCCCAGAGCTGCGCTGCCTCCCTGGGTGCACAGATGCCCAGAGCCCAAAATGTGGAGCGCACAGCCGGGCCCAGAGGGGCTCCCGACGCAGGAGGGTGGCACAGGACCCCACTGCAGCACTAGGCCCTATTGACCAGAAGCAGGAAGCAGCACATTAAACCCACAGGATGTGGCCTGAGGTCAAGGTCACTTCCGAAAGGAGGGGGAACTTGTTTTGTACTCCAGAAAGGACACATCTCTGCCTGTGTCAACAACAGCACACACTGTGTGAATGTGCACACATTCTTATCGATCTGAAGGAATAAAGGCTAGCACGCCTTAGACACACTCTGATATACTCTGTAGCCACAAAAAAACAAAACAAACAAACAAACAAAAAATCCATCTGTGAACAGGTAGCTCCAGCTTCTGCACCCTGAGTCCTGGCAGCTTCTCATCACTGAGCACAAAAACCTACAACCCGCTGAGGCTGGAGCTCTTCCTTGGTGCCTTGTGTCCCCTCTCTGCTCTCTTAGGGCTGCCTTCATCCCCTCTGCCTCACTCTGCAGTGCCTCGGCTGGTGCTGCTGCCAATGTGGGGGTGCCAATCAGTTCCCCTAGCTTAAGGAAATCCAATCCTCATTGTATAATCCCAGAGTAGGGAGTCTGGGCTGGAAAAGTGACCACACAAACCTTCAGGAAATTAAACCATTTTTCCTGTTGTTTATTTTTCTCTTTGATACCATCAGCAGTGACACGCTCCAGTGAAAAGCTAGCCCTGCCTGAAATGAGGATTTTTCTCTCCCCTGAATTGCTCTCTGAATTCCCAAAATATAATCACACCGGAACAGCAAGGTCATATTGCTCACCCAGTAACTCCCGCGCCGGATTGGCTCCTCTGAAAGTGACTCTGTCAACCACAGCCCAGCGAGGTCGGTAAGGGCCTTTTGCTCCAGGGTCTTGCACGAGTGGGGAGTCCTGGGCTGCAGGCTAGTGAAAGCAAACCCACCTTTGCTTTCTCCTAGTGCACTCTCCTCAAGACAAAATTTGTTCCTGCAGAAAAATGGGGAAGTATTAATTTGAGTACAAGTGACCAGTTTAGCAGAACCCTTGGTGACACAGACAGGGTTTGCTGAACAGATTATCTTGTAAGAGAAGACTGAAGGTAAGAATCCCCAAGATCTAATGTCACCCACCCACACTGCGTCCCCAGTAAGTTATGTCCAAGGGTTTGAGGTAGGAGGTAAAGCAAAGACAGGTGACCACAAAGAAACTGTGGGACAAAGGATCGAGAAACCAGAGCCTAAACTCCTGACTGGATTCCACCATCCTTCCCTTCTCCTCAGAGAAAACTGGTGTCCTGAGTTCAGAATTTGCCACATCTGTGGGATTTCATAGTCTTGGAGCTGGAGTTTGTGTATAAATATCACTCAGACTTGTTCTGCAGATCTCAACATCTTTTACTTGCTTTTGTTTCTTCCCATAGAATTGAGCTTTGCTCACGTTAGCTCGACTCCACTCCACCCTGTCACTGATTCAGAGCCAGAAAGAACCCTTGCCAAAAGTTCACTCCTTCCCTTCTTTCCCACCTTCTTCCTCAGGGACTGGGTATCAGCATGTGGAGCCAGATGGGCTCGGCGGTCCCCTCCAGTGCTCCGATGGCCCAGCTCCCACTACGCTACAGCCTTGACTAATTTCCATCAGGGTTTATCCCGAGTGATTGGATTAATGAGACTATTGATATAGTAATTTCACTGCCATCTTCATAATTAGTTCTCAGTGGAAGTTGTTTTAGTCATGATCCTTCTCAGTAGGAAGAAGGGAGATAAAAGTGGGAATGGAGCTTTGGGAAAGACAGGAAGCAGGAAATCTGAAATGGAACCTGACTAATTCCTAACTCAAAAGACTACTGAGAGGAGATGAATAAAAGTAAGGTGAAAGTTATGGTTTGAGTGTGTTTGGAAGTATGTGTAGGGGTGTCATTTTCTCAAAACACTCAGATAAAACAATGAAATTAAACAATCGTCACCCAAACACTGTCTTTGGAGCACACTCTAGAAATTCTATGGCACAAAGACGGGATAAAATGGCAGATGTTAAACTGGCGTTGCATTTGTTCAATGACCTGTTTTGTGCATGAAGAAGAATGGTGACCATGAAGTCCTGTTGGCAAGTAAAAACCTCCTAGGGACTGTCGACCAAAAGAAGAATGACACCAAGCTGCCAACGTTTCTCCAGTACTCACACTCAGCAGCCACCAATCGGAAGGGCCAGAAGGACCACTATGAATAACGTCATGAGACCGAGTCCGTTCAACATGGGCAGAGTGCTTCTTTCTGAAGCCTGAAGAACAAAGGGGCCCAAAGATAAGGGAAAGAAGGAAATGTTTGCTGATATCTATGCTATTAGTCTGCCCACCCCGGGCTTCATCTTCACCATGATGGGAAGAGTGCAAGCTCTGTTTCTCAGAGAGGTGCCTGACATAGCCATTGTCAGTGACTGATCAGTGACGGACCCACAGCTCAAGTTTGATTCCTCTGACCCAAAGGCACATGGGCTTCCATTGGCAGACAAGGCATCCTTCCAAAATGAGGGGTGGTCCTCCACTCTGAGCAGTTTATGGACTGATAAAAGAGATCACTTTGGTTTAATTTTTTAAATCACTATCAAATTTGAGCTCTGTTTCCCTAATATGATTGCTCACTGCTATGAATTTCCCCTGTAGGGCTGCTTTCATTGTGTCCCCTAAATTCCAGTATGTTGTATCACCAGTCATTTAATTGTAGAAATTGTCCAATTTCTTCTTTAATTTCCTCCGTGACCCATTCAGGAAGGTGTTATTTGCTTTCTATGTGTTTATGTGTTCTATGTGTTTCTATGTGTTTATGCAGTTCTTATGGTTTCTTTTGCTATTAATCTCCAATTTCATGGCACTATGATCTGACAGTATACAGGGGATCACTTCAGTTCCTTTGTATTTACTTAGACATGTTCTATGAGCTAGCATGTAGTCTGTTTTGGAGAATGATTCATGTATAGTTGAGAAGAATGGGAGTTCTGATTTTGTGGGACAGAACACTCTAGACATCTATTAAGGTCTACTATCTAGAATATATAAAGAACTTGAAAAAAATCAGATCTCCAAAATTTAAAGAATCAGTCCAAAAATAGGCATCTAAAATGAGCAGACATTTTTCAGACAAAGAAGTAGAAATAGAAAATAAACGTATGAAAAAAATGTTCAGCATCACTGGTAATTCAAGAGATGCAAGTGAAAACAACACTGAGATTTACCTCACCCCAGAAAGAATGGCTGCTCTCAAGAAATCAACCAATAATAAATGCTGGCAGGGTTGTGGGGAGATAGGAGCCCTTCTTCATTGTTGATGGGAGTGCAGACTGGTGCAACCACTGTAGAAATCAGTATGGAGATGCCTCAAAAACTAGGACTGGAGGTCCCATTTGACCCAGCTATTCCCCTGCTGGATATCTTCCCAAAAAAATTAAAAGAATCATACCACTGTGATATATGCTCACCCATGTTTATAGCAGCACAGTTTGTAATAGCTAAAACTTGGAAACAGCCCAAATGCCCATCAACAGTGACTGGATAAAGGATTTTTTTTTTATATAAAAGGCGGAGTACTACTTAACCATAAAGAATGATAAACTAGAGACGATGTATATTAAAGCCATACTCTTAAGTGAAATAAATAGGATACACATGTGTAAATACTGAATTGTCTCTCTGGTGTGAGAAACTGAGTGTAAGTGAGGACCAAAATGCATAATAGATAATGTGAAATAGGAAGCAAAGTTTCAAAGGGGAAGGGGAAGTAGAGGTACCAAAATGAAAAAAAACAAAGTAGATGTTGAAGTTCCAGGCATCTTGCCTATATCAAGATAGGAAGAGGAAGGAAAAGATGGCACCTATTGCATTTATTCTTCTTATCAGGAAAGCAAAACACTTTCCTGAAGGCCTCTGGATTGGGGTAAATCCATTATGACTCATTACTTGGTGCTGGATAAATTCTCCCTATGCCAAAGAAATCAGAGTTCTAGAAGCAAAAGACTATGGGCCGAGGATGTAGGGTGAGTGTTCATCAAGGATCTAAGAGAATCTGCCTCAGTCTACCCAGGACATCAAACAATATCCCAATATCCTGCCACACCACCACCAGCTCAAAGTCCAAGTCCTTAGATCCAAATGGGCCCTCTCAGTATCTGGTGATACATAAGCTAAAAGAACACAATATGAAATTCACCCAGTAAGCAGTGATGAAGTAGGAATAAAATAAGTAAGCCAATAATATTCAGAAATGGAGAAATGTAAGGCAGGCAGGGGTGCATAATACACAGGCCACATCCATCTATGTAGAGTAGAGTAGACACTGGTTGGGGTAGAATGTCTCTGTTGGCCAACCTGGCCAGCCATGCTTCCGCCCTTGGAGTGACCTCTCTACCCAATGGCCTCTATGATGCTTTGTCCAGGACCCTAGGAGGCGCTTTCTCACCTGTTTTCTTACCTATTTTTCACCTATCCAATTAAAAAAGATTGCTTTGGTCATGTCTTTGTGGACAAGGTTGCGCAGGTAAGATCTCTCATGTACTGCTGATGGGAGCATAAATTAGAATTGCTTCCATGAAGGGCAATTTTGCTAAATATATTACTCATCTATATATGAGTAATTGTGAGATATATGTGGGTATCTATCTATACACATCTGGCTATATACATACACATTACTCATGCAAAATCTTTGACTAATTCCACTTCTAGGAACTGGGAAGCATCACACAAATGTATTCACACATAAAAAATGACGTGTCTACAAGATTGTTCATTCACTTCTGCAGCTGTACTTCTAAAGCACAGGATTGGAAACCTCCTAAATGACAATCAGTGAGAGCTGGTTAGACAAGTATAGTACACCCATACAATGATATTTGATGAAGCTATAAAAAAAATGAATGCTCTGAATTTAGAGCTCTAAGAAACACTGTTAAATTAGAAGACTTAAAACAGATGCATACCAATGCATACAGAAAAATGAAGTATGATCAATGTCAAAAGGAAAGGGTCGTCGTGTACCTCTGAAAGGACATGTAAAAAAATAGATAACAAGAGTTGTTGGTGGGAAAAGGAAGCAAGTTGCTGTGGGTAGAAGTGAGGTGAGGCTTTTCATTGAATAACAATTCTTTTGTACTTAAACCAAATTAAACTATTAGCTACTTAACATTTTAAATTAAAAGCTTGTCAGGTCAATGTTCATAGAAGCATTATTCACAATAATAAAAAGATAGAAACAGCCCAAAATGCTTGTTGACGGATGAATGAATAAATCAAATGTGATATCTATGTACAGTAGGATATTACAGTACTGTGCCTTTACAAAGAAAATTCTACAGGCACAGTGGTGCACTCTCAGTGCTAGAGAGGCTGAGGCAGGAAGATTGCTGTGAGTTTAAGGCCAGCCTGGGCTACACAGTGAGAGCTTGTCTCAAAAAAAATAAATAAATAAATAAATAAAAAATAAAATAAAATAAATTAAATTAAAAGAAAATTCGGAGACGCTACACCATGGGTGAACCTTGAAGATATTTTGCTAAGGAAATACATGATCACAAAAGGACAAATAAAGCATAACTTCCGGTACCTGAAGTACCCAGAGTAGTCAGATGCAGAGCAACACAAAGTAGAGCAGGGGCTGCTCGGGCTGGGGCTGGGAGCAATGGAAGTTAATGTACTGTGGATCTGGAGCTTCAGGTGGGGATGCTGAAACAGCCCAGGGCTGGATGGTGGGACAGTGTGGACATACTTAATGCAATGAACTACATACTTTATAAAATATCAGACTTATGTATGTTTTACCATAGGAAAAACATTAACTTGATTAGCCTTGCTGAAAACCCTTGAATTGTCCTCCTTAAACAGCTCAATTACAGCTCAGTACAGCTGTGTAAAGAAAAACTTGGAGGCTTCCAGCTTACTTGCTTCTGGCCAGTTCCACACGAAAGTAACAACCATCAAAGGTCAGCTCCATGATCCCAGG